GGATGGATTTATGGGGGTTTGGGATGGATTTATGGGGGTTTGGGATGGATTTATGGGGGTTTGAGATGGATTTATGGAGCTTTGAAGAAGATTTATGGGGTTTGGGATGGATTTATGGGGTTTGGGATGGATTTATGGGGGTTTGGGATGGATTTATGAGGTTTGGGATGGATTTATGGGGTTTGGGATAGATTTATGGGGGTTTGGATGGATTTATGGGGGTTTGGGATGGATTTATGGGGGTTTGGGATGGATTTATGGGAGTTTGGGATGGATTTATGAGGTTTGGGATGGATTTATGGGGTTTTGGATGGATTTATGGGGTTTGGGATGGATTTATGGGGGTTTTGGCATGGGTATCCCCTGCTCCATCACCATCACTGTCACCATTGGTGGGATCGTCACCTTCAACAGTGACTGGAGGAGTTTGGGGACGATCTGGGGGACTTTGGGGCAGATTTTGGGGTGAATTTGTGGAGGTGTCTGGTGTGGTTGGAGGAGTCTGGAGGAGCTCAGGGAGATTGAAGGGTTAAAGGGATTTTGGGGGGATTTGGGGGATTTTAGGACAGACGTGGGGCAGTTTTGGGATGATTTAGGCACCTTCAGCGAGTTTCGGGGTGGACACAGGGATACGGGGGGCGGACATTAGGATTATTTTGAGTCGACCCCAATAACCCAAAACCACCCCAAACACCCTCTAAACCCCACTGCTCCTCCTCGAGGTGCCTGTGAGAGCGCTGAGGTGCCTCCCTGAGCCCCAAAATCCCCTGAAGTGACCCCAAAACCCCTTAGGCTGCAGGAGCTGGTGCGCAGGGGGAACAGCCAGTACCCGGGGGCCAAGTACATCATCAGGGACAACGGGGACAGGATCGACCTCCGCTTCCACCCCAAGCCCAGCGACCTCCACCTGCAGATCGGCTACAAGGTCAGCGCCCCGGAACCCCAAAACTCACCCCGAGGCTCCCAAAAAAGGACGGACACCAAAAACGGGGAGCGGAACCCGCGACTGCGGGCGGGGATTGTCGGTTTGGGGGGACGGAGCTTTGGGGTTTGGGTCAGTCCCTGGGTTTGGGGTTCAGATCCTGATTTTGGGGTTCAGAGATCTGGGTTTGGGCTTCAGAGCTCTGGATTTGGGGTTCAGATCCTGATTTTGGGGTTCAGAGCTCTGGATTTGGGGTTCAGATCCTGATTTTGGGGCTCAGAGCTCTGGGTTTGGGGTTCGGGGATCTGGATTTGGGGTTCAGATCCTGATTTTGGGGTTCAGAGATCAGGGTTTGGGGTTCAGAGATCTGGGTTTGGGCTTCAGAACTCTGGGTTTGGGGTTCAGATCCTGATTTTGGGGTTCAGAGCTCTGGTTTTGGGGTTCAGATCCTGATTTTGGGGTTCAGAGCTCTGGATTTGGGGCTCAGTCCCTGGGTTTGGGGCTCAGAGCTCTGGATTTGGGGCTCAATCCCTGATTTTGGGGTTCAGAGCTCTGGGTTTGGAGTTCAGATCCTGATTTTGGGGTTCAGAGCTCTGGGTTTGGGGTTCAGATCCTGATTTTGGGGTTCAGAGCTCTGGATTTGGGGCTCAGTCCCTGGGTTTGGGGCTCAGACCTCTGGTTTTGGGGCTCAATCCCTGATTTTGGGGTTCAGAGCTCTGGATTTGGGGATCAGATCCTGATTTTGGGGTTCAGAGCTCTGGATTTGGGGCTCAATCCCTGATTTTGGGGTTCAGAGCTCTGGATTTGGGGCTCAATCCCTGATTTTGGGGTTCTCAGCTCTGGATTTGGGGTTCAATCCATAATGTTGGGATCCGAATTCTAGATGTTGGTTTCAATCCAAAATTTTGGGTTGAAATCTCTGAGATTTGAGGTTCAATCCTCAATTTTTGGCCTTCACCACCACCAGGGAGCGAATTTAACCCCGATCTCCTCGTTCTCCTCGCTCTGACCCCACCGGTTTTGAGGGGAAGATGCCGTTTTTGGGGTGTCCCCCATTTTTGGGGTGTCCCCCGTTTTCGGGGTGTCCTCCTGACTCTTGGGGGGCTTTGGGGACAGGTGGAACGTCACATGTGCGACGGGGACATCGTCATCTTCAACCGGCAGCCCACCCTGCACAAGATGTCCATGATGGGTCACCGGGTCAGGATCCTGCCCTGGTCCACCTTCAGGCTGAATCTGAGGTGAAACAGCCCAAAAACCCCAAAATTTACCCCAAAATGATCCCAAATCCTGCCCTGGTCCATCTTTGCTCTGAATTTGAGGTCCCAGTGTCCCCAGAATGTCCCTGATGTCCCCCCAATGTCCCCACAATGTCCCCAATGTCCCCACAATGTCCCCGATGTCCCCACAATGTCTCAATGTCCCCACAATGTCTCCAATGTCCCCACAACGTCTCAATGTCCCCACGATGTCTCCACGATGTCCCAGTGTCCCCAGAACATCCCTGATGTCCTCTCAGTGTCACCACGTCCTACAACAGTGATGAGATGAACCTGTCCCGTGTCCCTGATGTGACCCCAAAGTCCCTGAGATCCCAGATGTCCCAGTGTCCCCACGGTGTCCCCAATGTCCCTGATGTCCCCTCGCTGTCCCCGCAGCATCACCACGCCCTACAAGGATGATGACATGAACCTACTCCATGTCCCTGCCATGACCCCGATGTCCCTGAGATCCCAGATGTCCCAGTGTCCCCACGATGTCCCAGTGACCACACAACGTACCTGATGTTCCAATGTCCCTGATGTCCCCACGATGTCCCAGTGTCTCCAGAACATCCCTGATGTCCTCTCAGTGTCACCACGTCCTACAACAGTGATGAGATGAACCTGTCCCGTGTCCCTGCCGTGACCCCGATGTCCCTGAGATCCCAGATGTCCCAATGTCCCCGCAATGTCCCCAATGTCCCTGATGTCCCCATGATGTCCCCTCAGTGTCACCATGCCCTACAGCAGTGATGAGATGAACCCACCCCATGTCCCTGCCATGACCCCGATGTCCCTGAGATCCCAGATGTCCCAATGTCCCCACGATGTCCCCGATGTCCCCAATGTCCCCTCGCTGTCCCCGCAGCGTCACCACGCCCTACAACGCCGACTTTGACGGCGACGAGATGAACCTGCACCTGCCGCAGTCGCTGGAGACGCGGGCGGAGATCCAGGAGTTGGCCATGGTGCCCAGGATGATCGTCACCCCCCAGAGCAACCGGCCCGTCATGGGCATCGTGCAGGACACGCTGACGGCCGTGCGCAAGTTCACCAAGAGGGACGTCTTCCTCGAGAGGGTCGGTCTGGGGGGGTTTGGGGTGATTTGAGATGATTTGGGGTTGGTTTGAGGTCCTTTGTGGTGGTTTTGGGGTGATGGACCATGGTTTTGGGGTGATGGACCATGGTTTTGGGGTGATGGAC